TTTCTTGGCACACAAGCCATTGAAACCTCCACATTGTCTTAGAACTCCTTCACTACCAATTCGAAATGTGATATCAAGAGTAGACCGAGGAAGAGTGCTTATGGGAAGTTCATGATGGGTGATAGTTTGGAAGGGAGAAGCAAGGGTTTTGGCCGATGTTATTGGCCGTTGTTTGTTAGGAAGGTTCTTAGTCGAAACCATAGAACCTTCAGTTTTAGGGTGAAGATGTAGGATCTCATGATGTGTTTTCCACCACCTAAAAAGCCTTTTCCCCATGTCCAAGACAATCGCCAGTCATTTGAAACCGTGTGTATGACCTCCGGACAAGCTAGTGATGAAAACCATTCCGTGAACTCTAGAATTTAGAGGTTACCGCTGTAGTGTTGAGACGATAGGGCCGAGATTTGATGATTGTGCACATTCTTTACACCAAAATGCCCCGATCCCAATGGTCAAGAGAGTAAGCGATTCATTCTTGTTTTGCATGTCATATCATACCCCGGTGAGGACCTTTGTTGCCCATCCGTTTGTTCATTGGACTAGAACTCTATGCATGGTTAGTTGTGTTTGGTAAGTGATCTTGTTGAAACTTGCATTGATTCATGAAAAAGGTGAGAACTTTTCATTTGCCCGTTTCTAGTAGCCTCAAACGTCGTTTGTGGTGGATGTCGATATTGCTTGTTACGGTCCTTGTGTTAATTGCCAGTAGCCATTTGAGATTCGCCACTTTGTGCCCTTTGATATGTCCCCAAAGCATTTTGATAGGTTGAGATATTACCTTGTGTGAAATGGTTTGCTTGGGGCAAGCAAAAGTCTAAGTGTGGGGGAGTGATTCGGGTCTAATTGCACACATTTTATCCCCGTTTCCCTTGGGCGTTTGTAGCATTTGAACTCCTAAAAGGGTGGTTTTACGCTAGGTTTTATGCGTTTTAGTGTGTTTCAGGATCCAGCAGGTGAAACCCGCCCCGGAGTCGAAAGTTGGACGAAAGGGGGCAAAGACCGGGCAAAGAGGGTGATTCTGGCAATGTTCATGGTTTCCCATTAGAGTTCATGGTCTCCTATGACCGTGAACTGAAGCCCAAAACCGTGAACCGCGAAGCGTTCAGGGAGAATTCTGCAGTTATTGACGCAAGGCGAGTTCACGGTCAACAAGACCGTGAACTTTGAGTGCTAACCATGAACTCATGTGCGTGAAGCGGTGCATTTCGACACATCGCCCTGAGTTCACAGACGCGTTGCCGTAATCTGAGGCCGTGAACTGAGCCTGATCCCAGTATATAATGTGATCTGAAAGGAAGAGAGAAAGAGAGCCCCAAGATTGAGAAAGTATCTTCTTCAGATTTTAGAGAGAGAAAGGACGAACCAAGGAAGAAAGAAGATAGGGTTTGCTCCAAGTGGTGAATTGGGAAGAATCTCCCTAAGAGAAGATCAACAAAAGCTCAAAGGAGATTGGAGGCATCGCCATGATGGTTTCTATTTCTTTCTCTTGTGTTCTTACCTTTGCTTTGTTTCGATTTAAATCTCATAGTCTTCAACCAAAAACCAATCCGCTATAATGTTTCAAACAATGGAAGTAGGGGTATATGGACCGACCCGGGTTGATATTTAAACATACTTGCCCTATATTGCACCCATCTAAGATTTATACTTGGGCCTTAGGTTTTTATTGTGATATCCGGGACGAGTCACTCAGCTCTCTTTTCTCCATAGCTTCGAGCGTGCTTTTCTTGCAATTTGCATTTCGATCCTCCACTTCTTCTGAAAAAACTTTTATTTGATATGAAAACCTAAGGCATAATTCCTTCTCATTCATCTTTTACTTTATACATGCAGTTGAAACCACTACAAGTCAACCATGGTCAATTGCAAACCTGAAATTGTTTGTTGCTTGACTTGAAAAGGAAATAATCACAAACTTATATGTAAAGTAAACTGTGATTCAAAATGGAATGAAACAACATCTCATAAGAGTGATGTGTTGATGAAGCAAAAAAGATGTGCCTTAATAACTAAGCCTTCCTTGTTTCCGTCCGCAATCTGCGCTGGTTCAATTCCATTTGTCAATTGTGCAATTTTGGATTTCAATTCTCCCTATTCTCTCCCCGGCAAGCTGGTGGGAAGAGATTGTGCAAACCAAGCTTGGACAAGTGACAGTGAAATGGTGCAGGGGATAAAGATTTGGTAAACAAATATGCTAATGGATAAGAAGAAGAGACATGAAGAAGCTTGGTGACTTTGGCCTCCAACTTCTCATGAACAAGATGAAGTCGAGTTTGACATGATTAGTGCGCTCATGAAAGGTGAGATTCTCTTCAAAATATATCACTTTTATTGTCACAAATGTAGAGTAGCAGGTTGAGAATGAGAGACCTTGAAATCATATATAAGGAATAGGAGACATTGTAGCTAACAAGTTGTGAAAGCAAGAGCACGATACTCTACTTCACAAGAAGATCAACTTATTGTTTTATGCTTTTTGCTTTACGTGGAAATAATAAAATCACCAAGGTAGACACAATAACCAGAAATTGAACGTCTAGTGTCAACAAAAGCAATCCAATCAGAGTCAGTAAAGGCTTTGAGTTGAAGAGTACCCTTGGCTTGAAAAAAATAGCCCAATAGCTTGAGCAGGTTTGAGGTAACGTAGAATCCTATCAACAAACTTGTAATGAATTATGTTAGGACGAGCCATGAATTGTATCACCTATTGAGTGGCATAGCTAATGTCATGATGAGTGGTTGTGATGTGAATCAGTTTACCAACCAATGTCTTGTAATGTTCTGGGTCCTCATATGGTTTATAACATACATTGCTCAAATGGAGTTTGTAGTCCATAGGAGTAGAAACATTCTTCGAGTCTAGTAGGTTGGCCTCTTCAATGATTTATAGAGTACACCTCCTTTGAGAGAGATGATTAATGCCTTTTTCATTGCGAGCTACTTCAATCCCAAGAAAAAATCTGAGAGTTCCCAAATTATTATGTTCAATTCATTATGAAGTGAGTTCTTCAGATTAGTGATTTCATCTAAATTATTACTGCCAACAATTAGATCATCTACATAAATGAGTATGCAGAAGAGAGAGTGGCCTGCTTTGCTCTGAAAGCCCTGTTCTTATGTTAGTTTATCTCTAAGTTTGGAGAACCACTGCCTTGAGGCCTATTTGAGACCATTTTAAGATTTCTTCAATCAAAATATTGGGTTGTGAAAAGCTGTTGGTGGAGTGTAGTCCTTAGGCAAAGTCATGAAACTTCCTCCTAGAGATCTCCATGAAGGAAAGCCTTAGTCACATCCTACTGGTGAATATGCCAATTTATGATTACAATGATAACCAAAAAAGTCCTAACTGTGGTCATCTTGATGACCTGAGCAAAAGTGTCTTGGTAGTCCACCCCTTCTTGATATGTGTTACCCTTAGCCACCAATCTAGCCTTGAATCTATCTAAAGAACCATCATGGTGAAATTTGACTCGATATACCCACTTATTGTCAATTGTTATCTTGTGCTTGAGAAGTTCAACAATATCCCAAGTATGGTTTTTAGCCAAAGCTCCTAACTCCAGAAACACAGCAGAGGACCATTGGTCTGAATGGGATGCTTCATTGCTTCATTGCAAGTATACTACGCTTTAGGAAGTGGTTACACTTGGCTATTTTCTAAAGTGACAGTAGGAGTGAGTCAACCAGGATCCACATTGTGTCTTTCTTGAATGTTTGTGAATGGTTAGGAGCAGATAAATTATATTTACCTGATTCCTTTGAACTGTTAATATATGATGTTGTAGTGAAAGAACCGCCAGATGATTTTTTATTGATCGTATTAATCAATTATTCATAATTTGTGTTACTAAGCTTCACTTCATGGTCTTCTTAATGAATGGAAAGCCATGTTTGTGAAAACATCTAGTCCTTTGTGTGCCCATGTATCTTGTAATAAGAACACTCTAAAACCTTGCATTGCATTGCCATGTCCCTTGAGTCTATCCCAGGTGGCAATCCATGTTTGTGGTAACCTATTCTGTAATTTACCAGCTTGTGTAGCCATAGTTGTTAAGTCAGTTGCCACAGTTGCTACCATCTTACCCTTCTAGGTACCTTACATCTGCCTCTCATGTTGTAATATTTTTTTTGGAAAACCATGTTGATGCTAGGTAACTCATCTCAAACAAGTACTTAAGATCTTACAACAGAAAAATTCTCATTAAGCCCTAGAAGGAACTTAATCCCATAGTTAGTATCATGATATTACAAAACTCTTTTCATAGATCTATATTCCTTATGCTAGCAGGAGTGCAACCACAAGGCATTAGAGGTTGGTAGTTTTTCAATTCATCCTTAACGATTACGACTCTGCCATGGTACTTTGTGATAGTTTGGTTACCTTGTTTGAGATTTTAAAGAGCTTCCTCTAGTTTGGAAATTCTTATAATACCATTCACGAAATTCAACTTTGGATATGCTTCATCTAGTTCTTCAAGAATACCATTCACAAAATTCAGCTTGTTCTTAGCAACCGAGGTGTTGTACATAGCCCCGCTCCAATCATTGTTATTGTTGTGAGAGCATCGGGGCTAGGTTAAGGAATTAGGCTCTGATACCATAATAAAAAATTTCTTTGATACAAAATCCTAGGTCCTAAGTCCTTCTTAATCATCTCTTAGTTTATATATGCAGCAGGAAATCCCTACAAGACAACAATGGCTAGCTGCAAATCTGAAACTGTTTGTTGCTTAACTTGAAAGGAAACATTTACAAACTTGGATGTAAAGTAAACCGTGATTCAAAAAGGAATGAAATGGCATCGCATAAGAGTAATGTGTTGATGAAGTGAAAATGATGTATCTTAATAACTAAGCTCTTCCTCATCTTCAATCAGCGCAGGTTTGATTCCAAAGGTCGACTGTGAAATTTGGAATTTCAATTCTCCTTGTTATGTTATATTCGATAGTCTTCTTCACAAAAAATGAAATTAGAGATGTGAATGGCGATTACAAATGACCAATTACTTCTGTCGCGGACCAATTGTAGCTGAGAAGAAAGGATACATCTCTAAGTAATACTTGGTGATCTTGCTCATTGACAGAAGAACCTTGCCCTGCGGTTGACGGTTGACCTATCGCTGACATAATCAGTCCTTCACGACATTGTCCTCTCCTCTATTCATCGATGGTGCCCACTTCCATGGCTGTTAGGATAGGCTAGATGGATGCGGGTAAGGGAGAAGTAAGAAAGAGTTTAACAATTCTAAATAAGGAACAGAGAAATACATAAGAGTTTAGGTATAAGATGCTTACTGGCCACCAATTTATAATTATTGAATTTTTGGTAGTTGATTGCCTTGACTAAGTACTTGCCGATGGAAGGAGATGAGAGAAAGATGATATAGCTCTCAATTTGAAAAGATGAAAAGTTCACTTGGCTTCGAATTCTGCCACGCCCCGGTAGACCTGAAACTCCTCCTAAAAGAGATATTAAAAAAGGAAGATTGGCCTCGAGATTCCTTTCATATGCTTTTTTCAATTTTGTAGTAGAGAAGAGATGAGAGAGAAGAAGGATGGTCGCTAAGAGATGAAAAATGAGAGATATGGGGAGGAAGACAAATTGGGTAAGAAAAGAGAGATATGAGGGTTTGGGGAGAAGAGCTACATAATGAAGTCTCATCAACAAGTGGGCGTACGAAAAGTACGTTAACAAAGGGGAGAAAAGTTGAAAGTAAGAAGAGAGGTTATTGTAGCAGACATAGGAGATGAGATGGGAACATTGGGAAGTGAAGGGTCTGCAGTAGAGAATGAAGGCAAAAGAATCTAGTTATAACCGAACTTGGATAATTATGAGGTAACTGGGATGGATGAAGCAAATGGGGAAAGGAGGGAAGGAAGCGCATGCAGGGACACTACATGACATAGACACTTTCTATGATTATATCAACTGTTTCACTATTATTCGTAGGACTTAGAAATTTGTTGCGATGAATAAAAATGATACAATGGAACGAAACTCAATTTAAACAATTACACAATGTTTTTTGAAAGAGGGAAGGAAAATAAAAAGAGAAGGAAAATTTAGAAGGGAAAGAAAATTTTGAGGGGAGGAAAATGGCTGGGAAAATATTGTTTTATGGATGAAAGTGTAGAGAAAGTATGAGAGAAAAATAATATTGAAAAATGTGATATATACAAGGTTGTCAACCGGAGAGTCGACCCGGATTGAACCGGACCCGATAGAAAAAAATAGGCGTCAGAAACCCATTGAAGAGTTTGTTTGTCAAATTCAAACCCACTTTGGCCTGGTCATAGCTATAGGTGTCAAAACATAGCCCGACCCGATTAACCCGCCCGATCAACCCGACCGCAACCCGAATTAACTAAAAGTCAACAACCCGTAACCCGCCCGACTCGCAACCCGATTAACCCGAACCTGATTGACCCGCAAACCGACTGACCCGCAATCCGATTAACCCGAACCTGATTGACCCGAACCCGACTAACCCGTAACCCGACCGACTCAACCCAAATTTCATCTAATCCACTTGAATAATTATAAAAATATACAATACATATTTTTTCAAAATAAAGTTTTTCATTCTAAACTTAAGTAAAATTATTTTTCATTTCGTATAAGAAATTTAAAAAATATGAAACTCGATATTACGTATTTTAAGAAAATTAAAAAAATTGAAACACGAAAGTCACTTGAGATCATGACAATATTAATATAATATATAAATTAAAATTTTGGTTAATTTAACTATTCAATAAATTATCAATTAAATATAAATAAAGTAAAGTACTGTATTTGGTAATTTGATGTTTTTTAAAAGAAAAGGGAAATTTTGGTGTATTCAAGTTTTTGGGAAGAGAAAGAATAGGGAAATTTGGTTCTTTGAATTTTTTAGAAAAGAAACAAGTGGGAATTTTGGTGGTTTTGATATGTGGGAAGAGAAAGAAGTGGGAAAGTTTGATTCTTTTGATTATGAAAGAGAAATAAGGAGGGAAACTTTTGACTTTTCAACCTTTTGTAGAAGGAAAGAAGTGGGTAATTTGGTTCTTTCAATTTATGGAAGAGAAAGATGAGGGAAAATTGAGTTTTTCTAATGTATGGAAAGAGAAAGAAGGAGGGAAATTTTAGTATTTTTGTGAAAAGAATGAAGGAAACAAATTTGGTGTTTTCAATTTTTTGGTTTTTCATAATTTTAGCTTTTGAAATATGAATCTTTAACTTTTATATGGAGGGCATGACTAGTTAAAATTATTCTTATATGCTTTGAAGGCTAATATGTATATATGTATGTGATTGTTTATGGCCTAATAAATAAATTAACCATTAGTTACAACAATTTATATTAAACTTGATAAGTAATTTTTGACGGTTCGTTGTTTAGGATATAAAGTATATGGTTAGGGTATAAGATATAAGGTACATATGGTTTAGGATGTATATGGTTAGGGTATAAGATATTGATGGTTTTGACGGTTCTAAGTTTTTTATTAACATATGTTCACTTGAAGTCATTTAAAGTCTTTAACGGCAGGAGATCCCTTTTTAATTTATGTTTATGGTACGTGGTTAAGGTACAAGGTATGTGGTGTCAAGTATAGGATATATGGTTAGGGTATAACAATTAGCAAATATCACTTTTTATATATGTTTTGAAAATCAAAGTATGAATTTCACTTTTAAATTAACTATACTAGCAAAATCACAACTCAAGGACATATGGTTAGGGTATAGGGTATAGGTATATGGTTAGTGTATAATGTATTGATGGTTTAGGGTATACAATCAACAACATATACTAACTTAATATTGTTGATTGAGGGTAAGGCTAAGTGTATAGGATATATGCTATTGAGTAAGTTATGATTGAAGTCACAATAATTTTACTAAATTTGATAGCTAATCTTTAATGGTTCAATTTTTAGGATAATTCGAACAATTTTACAAATAACTCGTTTGGTAACAGTTTACTGAAGTTATTTGGGCAATGAGTTATTTCGAAATAACTTCTTTTATCACTATGCTTTTGCCAAATACCACACGCCAAATACCATATTTGCATGGTTCACTACAGGAAAACTAATTTCTGGTCACAGGATCTTATTCACGGGAATGTTTCCCGTACTAAGAAGTACACTAATAGTCGCGGGAACAATTCCCTTAATTGGTGGTATGATTTTAATCACGGGAATCAATTCATATTTTTTTAGTATTCATTTCCCGTGATTAATACTTAGTCATGGTTAATTACTGTGAATAATGTGAAAATTTATCTTTAACAATAATTATTCAAAATTATAAGAGGGAGAATTGTTTGGCTCCAAATTTTACCTTGGTTGAAAAAATTGTTTAGAATTATAGGAGGGAGAATTATCTGGCTCCAAATTTGAAATTTTACTTTGGTTGAAAACATTTGTTCTGGCTCCAAAATTTCATTTTCTACCCAAAACGTTTCAGCATAGAAAATATACCCGCCTCTTTTGAAATTTTCACAATCCCTCTTCCCCCACGTAGCACAAAATAACGAAAGGCGAAAGTCCAACTACTTACTTCGCTCTTCGCCTCTTCTCATACCTCTTTCTCTCCCCTGCGTTCTTCTCCAGAGAAAGGAGTTGGGAGAGCCTAACGGCTACCACCACCACCACCCACTTCCACCGGCTGCATCCCCAGTCCCCACTGATTCCTCCTCCTTCCTCATTCAGTCCATCTCCAAAACCCCAACTCCACTTATGAAACCCCTCTCTTCTTCACATCCTCCTTGCATTTCCTGAACTCGCCAAATTGACGCAGGCAGCAGAGAGTAGTTCAATACTCTCGTTGAACTTTTATCCTCTTCCTGATGTTTGGGTTGGGTAGCACCAATTTCATGCATCGATTGTGAAACTGGGATTGAAATTTCATATTTTTGGTGTTTTAGGGTTTGAAACCGAACAAATAGGGGATTTTTCAGTTTTAATGGAATTCAACCTTTCTTCTCCCTAGGGTCTAACATAAGGATGTCAACGTATCATGGGAAACTACACCGTGACTAGTGGTTATACTAAACGAGATACTTTAATCCAATTACTACTGAATTAATACTAAAATATCAAATAAACAATTAACGGTGTCTTTTGGTTGCAAATATTGATATCACCATTACTATTAGCTATAATACTTTACCAATTATGACTGATTACATAACAATTTTTCAAAAAAATAAAGTATCTATATACGAGGTAGAAATAAATTGGTTACAAAGTTGAGAAAATATTTTAAATTAGTGTAATAAAATGTGTAAGTTGGTAATGAGTAATGAGTTAAGTTACTTGATGCGCTGGCCCGAACAACCCGAAACCCGATCCGCCCGCAACCTACCCGATCCAAAACCCGATGAACCCGCAACCCGATTTGCCCGCAACCTGATTGAACCCGAACCCGATGAACCCGCAACCCGACTAACCCGCAACCCGTTTGAACCCGAACCCGATGAACCCGTAACCCGACTAACGCGCAACCCGTTTGAACCCGAACCCGATTGAACCCAACCCGAACCCGCCCGATTGACACCTATAGTCATAGCCCAGCAAACCCGAGCGTTGGATTGCCAACACGAGTCTCGGGTTGTTGTTGTCTTCCTCGTCCTCACTTTCTCTATTGGTTGTTTGCTTCCTCCTCGACGATCCCCTTCCACGCTGACGGGCATTGCCAACCGTTTCCTCACCCACCACACGTTGCAGCTTCTCAATCGCCGGCCCCGATCGATTCACGTTGTCGCTGCAACCACCGTCGTCAACCACGTTAGTGCGTTGCCTCCATTGCACTCTTGCTGATCGGCTTGGATTATTGCGGAAGAAGAGAGAAGAAGGAGAGGAGAACAGGAGACTTCAGGAAGTGAGGCGGCAAAAAAAAAAAAGAAAGAAAAGTAAGATTTTTTTACCCTCTCCATTCATTTCTAAAATGACCATCATAACCCTCTAGCCCTAGTTTAATTACAAAGAAAAAACATAATACAATTGCTGATTTGGTCTCCCAATTGTTTTAGTAATTCAAAATAATTGTTCCTTTCTAAAAACTGGTTGACCGGGTCAACCCCCAATTCAACCACTAACCTGCCACCTAGTCCTCTCACTGGGCCAACAGTCCAACCCGGGTAAACAACCTTGGATTATGTTATTTTTATTGATTATGTCAGTGTAAATATGTGAAAAACTATTTTTATAAAAAATATGTGAAAAGGAATATTATGAATAACTAATTCTACATAACCTTCATCATAACAATTTTTCATTTTTTTAACGAAATATATCTCGTTCATTTGAACTCAATTCTAAATTTTTCATAATTATTCGATTACGTTGGA